TTGTATTTTGATTACACAATAAGAAGTAATTATCTCACTTCCCTTATCTTAACTCCCTTATCTTACTCCATCCATATATCATGTGATTCGAACTCAAGATCTCTTACTTTTAAGAAAAGAAAATAACCACTAAATTATTTAAGTCGTTGGTTTTTTTACTTTATTAATAAATACTGCTAAGATAAAAAAAATTTACTGGTATGACTAATAAATTGCAAAAATGATAATGACATGAAACATTATAATTAACTAAAAATACCATCAACCTGATATCTTCATAAATACAGCAGACTTTCTCCTTCTTGATACGAGGTGGGAACTGGGGACTTAGACTAATGCTTTATTATTCTTTATACGAGGTGGAGACCTAGACTAGTGCTTTATTAATCCCCTAGATACATTAGGAATTTCCGTGACAAAGTCAAGGTGTGTGTAAGTTGCCTCCGGAACACCATGATTGTTTAACTAAAAAATAATTTGATAACAACTTAAGCACCATTCAACAAAGACTCTGCCAACAGTTGAAGACAAAGAATTTCTGATTGTTTCCACTAAGCAATAAATCCGAACTAATTAAACTAAACTTTGTGTCTTCTTTGACTAATTAAGAACTTCTTATTGGTAATCCGCCTGGTAAATTAAGCTTGTCTTGTACTTTACGAGCCGAATGCATATCCAGATTCGAGTTTGACTCCGCTCCCATCTCTACCCACTCTAGTTGAGTTATAAAATAGTTAATAATTGCACTATGTTGAACAATTAAAAAACTTGTATCTTTTTGAAAGTTATTTAAATTAAGCCTTTTTTTAACCTGTATACTTATATATTTAAGCTATAAGTTAAAGTATTTTTTTATTATAAATATATATAAAAATTTGTAAAAATTGATATTAATTTTAGTGTCAATGTCAAGTAAGTAAATTTAATTAGATAATTAATAAATTAAATGTTAATTTTTTTAATATAAATTTATAATAAAAAAGTATATTGAATACACCTGTGCCCTTAAATTAAAATTACTAAAGCTTTACCAGCAACTTAAATGGTTCTAATAATATTTTTTAGTGAAAATAAGATATTTTAAATTTAAATTGTATAATATACAAATAAAATGAGTTAAAAAAAAAGAGTCTTATACAACATAATATCAAAAGAAAAACTATTAGAGCTTTGGATATATGTTCATGGAGACGAAAACATTCAATCTTGAAGTCTTTGTTAACTCATGTTAATTTATCATTGATCTAAAGACTTTACATATATTGCAACATAATATCAGTTGCATTCATCCGAATTTTTTTTTTTTTTTCAAATTATAAGTCAACAAGTAAGGTCTACAAGATAAAATTATTATCGGTATAATTTTCACTCACAAAAAATTCAAACTAAACTTGTCAACATTTTCAAAAACTTAAGTTGACATTGATATGTAAATGTATAATAGAAGTTAATGATGCACATACTATATATGACGATACTATATGTGTGTTAAATTTTATTTTATTTTATTTTTTTAAATTCAAAAATATTAAAGATAAAAACTTATACACTATAATATAAAAAGTAAAATTGCTCTGACTAAAAAAGTTGAGAGACAAACGGGGGTTTTGCCGCAAAATGCGTAAAAAAATGATTAGTTTTTAATATATAAATGTTTTTCCAAAATGTCGGAATAATTAGTTGAACCAAACACATTGTGGTCCGGGCCGTCCGGCGGATAGACGACCCTGCAACTTTTATATTATTTTTTAAAAATCGAAATTAATTAGAACTTTACTAAAGACAAAAACATTGTTACTAGGTGGCTTCATGCATGCCTGCTTCCAAAAGACAATAAAGCTGGAATGCATTCCATCTCTGTCTCCGCGTTTACGATGCACCGGCAAAGCGTGGAGTCTTTTTCTTTTATTGGTTTCTCGTTCGATATCAGGGACTTCGTCTCGACTAATCTGGACTTGACTCGGTTGCGCATCTGAAAATAGTGGGTGAGTTTCCCAATAAAAGCTGCTGCGTACGTAAAGACTCGAACTCGAGACCTTACTTAAACTGGAACAAACCGCTTACCACTTGATCCAACTCTTCATTGGTAAAGAGTGGAGTCTTTGTTGTAGAAAATATAAAAAGTTAGAATGGAAAATATTTTTTCCGCCAAAAAAGAGAATGAAAAATGTTTTTAAATATAATATTATTTTTCATGGACTAAATAAACTCTAAACATTAAAATATAAAATACTTTCACTTTTTTTTTACTACAAAAGTTTATATTTGTACTATATTTTTAATTTTTTTTATAGACTTTGAATCACTTATCTTAACATATTTTTTTAAACAATTTACAATATATTTGTTTTAAAAGATTTATAATTTGAAAGTAAAAAAATTCGAATCTCAACCTTATTTTACTACAGAATTTAAAGTTATCATATCATAAAATTCAAGTACACTTATCCTAACATATTTTAAAAATTAAATGCAAAAAAATAAATACGCTACAAAAGGAAGGGCTTCAATGTGTGGGGCAACTGAAGTCTAGGGACAAATTTTCCAAATTAAAACGCATCTTCATCGTTGCTTAATTCTTAAGTATTGCACCCACCAACTTGTAGTTTAATTGGTAATTACGAAGTTTGGTACCAACGTGACCAAGATTTAATATTTAGGAGGTTAGTAAAAAGGTCAATTTTTTTTTATAAACTTTTAATTTTAATATAAATATTTTTTTATTTTGATTGCACAATAAAAAATAACAATCTTTCATTCATTATCTCACTTTACTCGCATATCATGCGATTTGAACTTAAAACTTCTTACTTTCAATAAAAAGATATAATTACTAAATTATTTAAATCATTAGCATGAATAAATGATTTGTTTTAAATTGAGATATACAAACTAATTTGAAAATAATAAGTTAATACCTAAAAAAAACTAAGTATTTTTTTATTATGTATTTTTTAAAAATGTACTTTAAGAATATAAATTAAGTATATAATAAATATATTTTTATTATCAATTTATGTTAAAAAATAAAATTTAATTTATTAATCATTTAATTACATTCATTCACATAATAATAATATTAAAATTAATATTAATTTTTATATTTTTATATAAATTTATAAAAAAAAATTATAAATTTGTACATTTAAAACGCAACTTTTAAAAACTTATTGTTATTATTATTATTATTATTTAATTTAAGGTTATAAGTTACTTAATAAAGAGTAGTCATTTTCTTCGCTTGACCTTATTCCTTACATGCTGTAAACTCGAAGTCAAATTCGAGACTTATTATATTAGCTTAACCTTTAGGCTTGTTGAATTAGAGTGCTATTTTAGTAGAAAAGTTTTTATTAAAAGTAGTTAAAAAAATTTTGAAAAAAAAACAAGAAATAATATATGAAAAATTATTAAATTTTGTAATAAAATTTAGTTAGAATTTTTTTATATTTGATAAAAAAATTTAATATATAAAATGTTAGTACAAAAATTATTAAATAAGTCTAATATAAAAAAATTAAGGAAAATTTTTTCTCTCAAAATAAATGAAAAATATTTTATGAGTTGTGAATTATATTATGAGATATAAA